ATTATTATTATTATTATTATTATTATTATTATTATTATTATTATTATTACTACTACTATTACTATTAGATAATAATATAAATTATTTGGGGATACTTGTTATTTTTTATTGAAGAATTTTTTTCATGTTCTATATCTGATCATTTCTTTTCCCTTCCTCAACTCCTCCCACATCCTACCCACCTAACTCTACAGCCTTTCTTTCTCTTTCTTTATAAAAGAATCAGATGAACAAAACAAATAACCAGAATTAAAACACACACACACACACACACACACACACACACACACACACAGCCACAGAAGCACAAAATCAGAATAAATAAATTAATAAATTAGTTTAACTCAAAATCTTGTTTCAGCTTTCTCCTGGGAATCCAAACCAAGACACAGCTCGGAAGTTGATGTACTTAGGGGATATTTCTGAGCTCTTCTAAGAAAAAAATACAAATAAAACGAAGGCCCTGAAGGAAATTGTAAGTCACAAGGGTAGTCGTGAGAAAGTCTATGAGTTCAAAAAAGTCACATTTTCAGGTTCTGACTAAGGGAGAGCAAGCAAAGCCTGCACAGCAAGATGGTGGTGGATGTAAAGAGGCAAGCAGCAACTGGTCTCTGCTCTGCAGATTGTAGAAATCAGGCAGTGATGTCTGGGGAAGAAGAATGAAGTGGTATAGTGCATGATGGATGGTTGGTGATTCATTCAGTACTTAAGTTTTCATATTTTGTTGTTGGGTTATTTGATGTGAGGAAACACCAATAAATTAAAAAGGCAATTTTTTATTAATTTATTTATTTGACAGGGTTTTACTCTGTAGCATGGACTCAAACTTACGATCCTCCTGAAGCAGTTGTCCAAAAGTATAACCTAAATAAATATACCTATCAGAGGTGCAGCTATTGTGCAAACCCATTGTGCAGCTAGTAGCATGTCCATAAACTCAGTATAATTACTAAAGAATTCCATTAAGAAATGGGAAATTAATTGCAAAATAAGCAAGCAGACGTCCATATTTCTGAATACCATCTAAAAAGAGTTTAAAGAAAAGAGAAAAATGTCCAGACAGAGATGCAGAAGCAGAGAAGATGCCAAATGAGGGACATGATACGGATGCCTTCCAAGCAGACATGAAAAAGTCTGAGGGCTGCTAAGCCATGCGGCCATGGTTTACATGTTGACAAGGAGATTAGATCACACTGTAGCACTAAGGTCTGACTTACGACGCTCATTTCTACCCACATCCTGGTTGCCTGCCTTCATTGGCCTGCCAATAGTAGGGCCAGATGAGTCAGTTTGCTGTTTGTGCTGAGATATTCACGCCCTAGAAGTGAACAAATGGTGCCATCAATACGATAAAAGCAAGAAGCAGCCTATTCTCAAGTCTTCATTGGACACTGCCCAAGCTTCATAGGGAACTGATGGTGGCAGATGATTACTATTTAGTCCACCCCCCAAGGAGACACAGGAGAGAAGGGAGGCATAAAAGGAAAGTAAGGGAGAGAGGGAAGAAAAGGGGGCAGACCATGAGGCACAGGAGAAAGCTACATGTATGAAATTTCACATTAAACAATCTTGCCTCAACTATCTCCATCTGTATATATTACTTGTGTTTTCTTCCACATTTTCTGACCTCTAATGTAATAAAACAAGTTTAGGAATAAAAACAAAACCTCCTTTTAATTTTATTTCATTTTATTTTGAGTTCTGTCATTCGGAAACCTGAGAAGTCTAGCAGCCTTAGATTTTATAGTGTGTTCTCTCTTGGTTTACCTCATTTTCCAAAACAATTAGTTGCCCATCCACATGGCTGATTTTCTCTTTGCCCTCATTTTCTAAAAATTTTAAATGTCTTTTACAATTTATTTATTATATATCCCAATGAAATCCCCCTCCCTCAACTCCTCTCAGTCCCACCCTCCCTCCCTCTTCCTTCCATCCCTTTCCCCTAGTCCACTGAAAGAGGGAGTTCTCCACCATTGCCATCTGCCCATAGTTTATCAAGTCTCACCAGGAATGCCTGGCTCCTCTTCCTCTGTGGCCTGGCAAGACCTCACAGCCAGGCACAAGTAATCAAAGAGCAGACAATTGTGATTTCATGACAGAGGCAGCCCATGTTCAGAGGCAGCCCATGATCCCCTTACTAAGCATCCCACATTGAAAAAGAGCTGCCAATTGGCTACATTTGAGCAGGGGTCTAGGTCATCTCCATATATAGTCCTTGGTTGGTGCATCAGTCTCTGCAAGATCCCATGGACTCAGCCTTTTTAGCTTTGTTGTTCTCCTTGTGGAGCTCCTGTCTCCTCCGTGCCCTTCTATCTGCCCCCAACTTCTTCCATAAGACTCCATGTGCTCAGCACAGAAGTGGTGGAAGAGAGGGAACAGGATAGGAGCCTGCTATAGAGGGTCTTCTGAAAGGCTCCACCCAACAGGGAATCAGAGAAGTTGCTGAGACTCTTTGCCCTTCTTTAGAATGACTTTAAAATCTGCAGGCCATGGTCACAAAAATGAAAACTAGCCAAAGCTAGGAGCTTCTGTTCAGTAATATTTTCTTGCACCAGGGAACAAAGTAGAATGCTTACATTTTTCCTTCAAATTGTACCCTGTGGCGTCTCTACATTCTGAACGAGGCTGTGGTGGATTTCACAGCTCTGTCCCATGAGGACCAGAGAGTCATGCCTGCAAGCTCAATTGCCAGAAACCCCTGGTGGTCTCTCATCACCGTGGGCCCTGGCAGGATGGTGGCGGGGTTTGCCATTTCTCTGGCCTTATTGATCAGCTCCTTTTTCTCATGGTGGCCGTATTGCACTTTGCACCAGAAAATAAGCCAGATAATTAGACACTCAAGGGATTAGATTTTGGCAGTTATAATTAAAGAGATTTCCAGTACCCTTAGGAAACATCATGCCTGCAAACAAGGTAGAGGTCACCATGAAGCTGATCTATATGTGACTTTCTGGGGGCTTTATTCTATTAACTGAATCATTATTCTTTAGCCTTCCACCTTTGTCCCTACCCCAAAATAAGAATGATAGGAGTCAAAGCAAACAATTGCAGGACTTACTCTTATGTGGTTACTGTATGATGTTAAGGGTGGGGAGAGCTTCCTCTTGAGGAAAGAGTATCACTGGAAGCATTGACACTAAGATGCCAAAAGAGATTATGATGTAAACACTTTACCAAAACTCTTGACTGTGGTGGAGGTCTTCCAGGCCTTGAAAGGGCTGACTGTCAGGTGGCAAGAAAATATTATGCCATCATCTTGGATTTAGACTAGAAAGAGGTGGAGACTGTAGTTTGTACCCAGCCTGACTGCCTTTAAATGATGTGGAATTGCTCACATGGTGATCATCAGTGAAGAGAACTTCTTGGACGCCATCTTTCTTCTGGGGCAAGAAACAGTACTCAGTTACAGAACACACAATGTGTCAATGTACCTCAACTGACTGCCTCATAAACAGGATTTATTTGTTTTAAATCATGTGAACATGTGTCTGTGTGTACGTGCATGTGAGTACAAATGCTTATGAAAGCCAGAAGGTATTGAGTTTACTGGAACTAGATCTCATTGGAGATACCCAGTGTGGGTGTTGGGAGCCATATTCAGTTCATCTGAAAGAGCAACAGGGACTTTAAGCACTGAGCCACATCTCGAGCCTGACAAGTGTTATTTAAACACTCATAAAACAGCAAGGATGAAGAATTAAATTAGGGAGACTGAGTATATTGTTAGAGAAAGTATTGTTACTCTTGCACTTTAATAAAAATTTCTCTTATCTTTTCCTAACATGAATAAAAAAGCACGTTGTTCTAAAAGGACCTTGCCACTCAGTCTTGCTTTGAGGACAGGAGAGAGTGCTTTTAGCAGATTGCAGTGCTCATTTAAGAAGTCTGTTAAGATGTGCTGGATATCCACTCCTCCCTTGTGTTCTAGGGGAGAGGGTTGAGCAAATAAGGAACTGGGAGGAAGGGGAAAGTGCAGCCAATGTGTGAGAGAATAACTTTTTAAGAAGGATGTGCTGGGGACACTGCTGGGGTGTTGCTAATTAGATCTTTACATCAGCTTCACAATTCCACCTGTCTTCTCTTCCCAGAATTCCCCGAGAAAAGGTCTGAAAGGCTAGCCCCTTTTAGGATCAGCTGTAGGAGAGAGTAGAAGCAATCGAGCAAAGAACTTATGGAAGCAGCCTTTTCTGAGTCTTGCACATGAAGGAAAGGCACCTGTGAGGAAGTGGCCCCTTCAAATGTTGTCCTCCTAGGCCCTCTTTGTTGCAGTTCTTCATTGCACTCATGGTCCTAGCCCAGCGGTTCTCAACCTGTGAGTCACAACCCATTTGGGGATCGTGACCTTTTCATAGGGTGGTCCAAGACCACTGGAAGTATCAGATATTTACATTATGATTTATAATATTAGGAAAATTTTAATTAAGAAGTAACAGTGAAAGTACTTTATGGTTGGAAGTCACCACAACACAAGGCACCATATTAAACAGTTGCAGCATTAAGAAGGTTGAGAACCGCTGTCCTGTACCTTGTATCCCTGCTTCTACGACTATATTATGCTCAGAGAGAACTCATAAGAAGTGGGCTCTAAAAGTTAGTGTGACTTTCGTTCATTGGCATTTGCTGGGGGAAATTGACTCCTCTATTTCATGTCCTGTCTTTGACGGATGAAGAAAATTACCAATTATTCTTTGCCTACCCAGGATTTCCAGGGCAGGCCTTGTGGTCACAATGATTGTCAGTGTCAGTGTGCTGCTGACCAGCTTTCTAGGGAGGACAGGACTCCTGAGCACAAAGGCGGTATGACGGTTACATCGCCTCTCTGTGTAATTCTAACTTAATCTACTCAGCTGCTTGGAAACTGTCCATGGCACAAGTTGTCCCTCTAGAGATTCACATTCAATCTGTCTGAGACCAGACCTAAGCTGGAATTGAGGAACAATTTTGAAGTTCCTCAGGGGAGCCAGGAGCCAGCTGAGAATGGCTGGCCTAACCCTGAACTTCCCAAGTGAATTATGATGCACAGGGGAAATGTGATGGACTAAAGGGGAGAAAGAGAATTGGAATGCATCTGGCAGTGAAAAATGATATAAAATAATGAAAGCAGCTACCTGTGACTTGGAATTGCGAACTTACAAAGTTAGATTTGGGGTAGAAGGAGAATCTAGGTTGAGTGAATTTGGCACAGGCAGATTTATTAAAGTAATTATATAGACATTTCCAGAGCCTACTCAATAGGAGGCTCTTATGTAATCCCCAATTCTTTGGCTGAATCTGGCTGAGCTCATTATCAGTGTCCCATACAGAGGGAACACTAAGGTTTCTTACAAAGAACCACAGCCTGCATAAACCTCCATCTAAAGTATGCCCCCCCACAGCAATAAAAAGCAGTCTTAGGAGCATAGGGAGATTGTATTCCCAAGACAGGGGCTCAGGAGAGCCCTGAGTAACAGTACAATGAAGTAGAAAGCATGTCCCTCAGCATCACAGACCTGACGACAATAGTTAAGGCAGCTGGCTCCCTCTTCAGGGCCTTCAGTACAAGGTACTTCTTATAGCATCATGTATATGGGCTGGTTTTATAAAGATTTTGTAGTTCAAAATGTTTTTGGAGAGACTGTAATGTGCATAGCTTCTAACATATCCAGGAGACACAGTCTCACAGCAAACTGCCTGGTGCTCTGGCTCTTACAGTCTTTCCCTACTTTCTTCTGTAATGTCCCTGAGACTTAGATGTGTTTTGTAGATGTAGCCATTGTGGCTGGCTGTTCTTCGCAACTCTGTATTTTGATAGACTCTGTTTTTCTTCAGTGGTTTCTATCTGTTGCAAAGAGATGTTTCCTTCATTCGGATGAAGACTACACTTATCTGTGGGTATAAGGACAAATGATGGCCTACACATGAGCTGAACAAGGCCAACACCAGTAGACATGACAAAGTATGGAAAGAGCACAATACCTCAAACCTGCACAAAGAACTATGGGAAACTAAGGAATCCTGAGAGTGACACAAATAGTCTTCCCCAAAGAAGAACATATTAATTGGTTATCCATTACCAAATGGTTTGCCCTGAAAACATACATATATGCATGTAACAACAATTAATGAAAAAAAAGAGGGCTGGAGAGGTGGCTCAGCCATAAAAATCTAGGCTTGCAAACAAACAAACAAAATACAATTAGTGAGTAAAGAGGCCACAAATTTGAAAATGATCAATGAGGAGAATATGGAGGGTTTGGAGGGAGGAAAAAAAAGAGAGAGAGACAAGTTACATAATTATATTATAATCACAAAATTAAAGAAAAAATGTCCTTGTCCTGTCAACAGTCAATCATGAATCAGAAAGAGGCTCACGGGACCTTATCTCTCACCACCGAACCACTACTGATGATTGAGGGATTTTGATGGAGGGGCGGTAGTTGTCTTTTACTGTGTGAGCTGCTGGTGAGCCAACAAAAAGTCACACAGACAGTGCTGCTTCAACTTAGTGGGTCACAAACTAAAATACAAAGACATACATGTGGGAAAGGATCCTAGAGAAGGAGAGGGGTGGCAGGGGTGAGAGGGAGGTGTGAAGAGTCAGGTGGGGGAGGGTATTCATAATGCATGCATGCATATATGAAATTGTCACGGAACAAATTTAGCAAAGGTTATTTTAAAGTGTTCTTGCTTGTTCGCCATGTGGTTTTTCTATTTGGGACATTCCCATCTGTCACATTGTTAGAGGAAGATGGTAGACACAGGATGCAGGCTGCTTAAGACTGCCTTTGCTTTTATTAGATATCAGGGTATGGCTTGTTGTAATACTTTCATTATCATACATATGTACGTACATACATACGTACGTACATACATACATACATATATCCAATGTTTGTTTTGTTTTGTTTGCTTTTACTTGGCATTTGACAGCTGCAGATGGAGAGGGAAGCTTTGTTTTTAAAAGATGGAATTCTGCTGCAAAGTGCCTTGAAGCAAGTAATAGGAGGGAATCCTGAGGGATGGCTGAATCCCTAGGGCAAGAACCTGCATGTGAATGGCTGCCATCACAGATCAAATTGGGAAGCAAATCTAGCTCAAATAAACCACCCAGTACCCAGACCTAGCAGAGCCAGGAGAGCTAAGGAAAGCTAGAGAGCTAGGGGAGCTAGAAGCGGAAGCTCTATAATTCTGTAATTACACAATGATTGCAACTGAAATGGTAACTTCTCATTATTACAGATATTTTCTTTTAAACTGCTACTTCTTTTTTTTAAAGATTATGATATAATTACAATACATTTCCTTTCTTTTTCCTCCCTCCAAACTGTCCCATAAACCCTTCCTTTTTTTTTTTCTTTGTAAATTCATGGCCTCTTTTTTATTATTGTTACACACATATATGTACGTATATATATGTATATATAATATAATATTCTACATTCCAAAATACATATGTACAACCTGCTCAGTCTACAGAATGTTATTTGCATGTATGTTTTCAGGCTGACCTTTTGGTACTAGATAACCAATCGGAGTGCTTCAATCTGTTTAGTGCACTCTAATGTTCTAGGCAGTGCAAAGCTTGTTCAAGTTTATCTTATACACATTATCATAGTCTGCAATTCATTAATGTTAATTTGCATGGGCACAAGTCACACAAAATAAGAAGGTACTCAAACTAAAGCATTTTGAAGCAAAAATACTCAGAATCAAGGAAGATGATGCCTCAGGGCTACACATACAGAACAAATCTGACCCACTAAATTATTTAAAATATATATGTATATATATATATATATATATATATATATATATATATATATACATATATATTTTATATGGCTTTGAGGTATGTCTGGAATGAGAAATTTAGGACAAATTCCAGACAGCCAGAAGCCTTTTTATAGGTTGTAGGCTGAAGGCATTAGGGCAGGTTTGCTGGTTGAAAGGACCTTATGTTATACTGACCTGTCTGTGGTGACTGGCAACATAGGACATATTAAAAAAAAAAAAAAAACAAAAAAAAACCTCCTATTTGGTATAAATGATCTCAGTTTACCAGCTCTGCATGAATACTTGCTGGGAACCACACATAGAGAGCCTTTTTTTCTCCTTTATTTTCTTTATTTTATATTCTTTATGTATTTTATATTCTTTATTTTCTCCCTTTAAAACTATTAGTAATTATTTCAAAAAAATTATTTGGTTTTCATCTTGGTGAAGTCTTTTGCTTTATGTGTAGTATAAATTTGACTAGCTCTATAGTCTACCCACTTAGTAGGTGGTCACCAATATAAATTCACCCCTTTCTAGTTCTACCCACAAACACTCTGTGGTTTTATGAACATTTATATTATACCTATATAAATGGAAATTTGAACAATTATTACTATGGTTCATATGGTTTTGTTCCTGTTTCTCCAAAACTTATTCCCAATGTCACAGTGTTAAATGGTGGTACCCAGTAAGAGGGACTTGGGCTACTACATAAATGAGCCATTGAAAAGACTTCTGGTGTTTGGAGCATAGCTCACCACCAACACGACTACCAAAACAACAACCAACCAACCAACCAAACAAACAAAAAAGGCCACACCCAAAGCAAGCCAATAAACAAAATGAGGTTTGTGGGAGTAGATTCCCTCTCCTCCACTCTTTCATTCTTCTGTCATAAAGGGACATAATAGCCATCATCCAATATGATTTGCATCTTCACATTTTCTCCACGAACTCTACACTGCCAGCACTGCCAGAGCAGGCTGCTTGTAACACCCCTTACATCTGTTTTCAACAGTACCAGACCAGACCAGTATATTTCTAACCATCATCATTAGTTATTAACCCTTTGTAGTTTGGCAGGTACTAATTTTTTTTTTAAACAGGGTTTCTCTGTATATCCCTGTTTGTCTGTCCTGGAACTAACTTGCTTGGTAGACCAGTTGGCCTTTCAATCACATAGATCCATCTGCCTCTGCTTCCTGAGTGTTGGGAGTAAAATCATACTCCACCAACCCTGGCCAGCAGGTACTTTATACTTTGATAACAGTCAAGACAGTGATGGTCAGCTATCACCAGGTAAGAGACTATGGTGTTGTTTTCTAAACTGCAAGGTTTCTTTTTCCCTGATTATAAAACAGCATAAATACTACAGGAAAAATATGATGAAAATTTACTTATTTATTTATTTTTAATTTATTCAGTTTACATCTCAGTCGTAGGCCCCTTCATCCTCTCCTCCCAGTCCCCCCCTACCTCCTGGTGAAAAAATTTAAACAATGTAAGTATCATCTAGTATTTAGTTATGTGACATTATCATGGATAATGAATGATTTGAATGTTAAATGTCCTGTTCCCCCATTCATGATTTAAAAGAGAAGAAAATTAAAACTCTTTTAACATTTTATTTACTTTGAGAATTTTATACATGTGTATTCTGTATTTCAATCTTATCTTCCTTCTTTCTCCTGTCATATCTGTTACCTGTTTCTCCTCAATCTCATCTTCCCTCCATCTTTTTCCTTCTTCTCTTCTTGTTTCTTCTTCCTCCTTCTCTTCCTCTTCCTCCTCTTCTTCCTCTTCCTCCTCCCTTCTTCTTCTCTCACTGAGTCTAGTGCTGCCTATATATAAATGGGTGTAGGGATGTCCTCTAGAACGTGCGCAACCTATCAAGGTCACATTCCGGAAAAAAATATATTCTTCCTTTCCTAGTAGTCACCAACTGTCAATGGCTCTTCAGTTAGGAGTGGGACCTCATGAACCCCTTTCTCATCCATGCCACATGGACTGGCTTGATCTTGTGGAAGTGTTATGCAGGCACCTGGAACCAGTTCATGGGTGCGATGGCTCTTTCCTGTCATATCTAGAAGATACTATCTCACAGAAATCTTCTTAACCTCTGGATTTTGCAGTCTTTCTGCCCTTCTTCCATGATGTTCCAGAGCCTTGTAGGGAGTAGTTATGATAGAGATGTCCCATTTCTGGGTGAGCACTCCATAGTCATTTATAACTGGTGCTAGTTGTGTGTCTCTGTGGAAAAAAAAAAAAAGGCTTCTCTGATGATAGGTGAAAGCTGTACTAATCTATGGGTATAATGAAAAGTATTTAGACAGGCCTCTTTCTAAATATATTCTATTACTTTGAAAATTTTTTATGATGTACTTTAATCATATTCACCATGACTTCTCTCCCTAACTCCTCGCTGACTAACCCTCTCCTCCTTACACCCTCCCAAACTCTGTGTCTTCTCTTTCTCCATCTCTCTCTCTCTCTCATGCCCCCTCTTCCTCTTTCTCCTCCGTTTTTTTTTTTAATAATCTATTGAGTCCAGTTTGTGTTATTCATGGAGCACTGGGTATAGAACCATCACTGGATCAGAGCTGAGCTACCAAGAATTACATGAATAAAGAAAAGTGACTCCTCATTCACTCAGAAGGCATCAACTGTCTAAAGCTCTTTAGTTAGGGGTCTAGGATTCTGAGCATGCCCTCTTCCATGACAGAACGTTGACTCCCTTGGTCTTATACAAGTTTCATACATGCAACCACAAGGGACTATGAGTTCATAAGCAGTGGGGAAGTATTTCTTTTTAATTCACTGACTGTGGGAGCAAATACTTCCCTAAGACATTCATTCCCCAGTGTATATTACTAATTTGTATGTATGAGTCCCAGGGTCTTGTTATAGCATATCTATGTCTTTTGCTACTAACTCTAGTCTTTTATCTGGCTCAAACATAACTTTTCAAGAAGCTTTTCTGGATTTATCTGATACATTTCTCCCTCTACTACTATTTTTTTTTACATTTTATGAATAATATATGACATGACAGAAAATATATCTAATATAATTTTGTATCCCTGTAAGACCTAACACTCAAATCAGATTCACATCTATTTACTGGATTGAATTAAAATTTATACCGTGGGAAATCACAGGATGATAGTTTGTAATGAAAACAGAATATTAGAATATATTTAGAAACTCCCAGAATAAGCCTGAAGAATTTCCCTGATGCTGGTATGTGTCCTAGGAATTAAACAGCAAAACTAGCATTTGCCATTTATCTACCAATCCATATTCCAACTCCATATGCATAGTGCTTGATTTTTTATAGCTCACTCTACTGCTCACATAGATGTTTACAAGCTGATCTTTTGTGTTTTGTTAGTATCTAACTGCATTAGATACTCCATGTTTGTGTCTGATGCCTATTGACTTCAGTTGCAAAATATGACTCCCCCAAAGCAAAAGATCTGCTCCACTTAACACAGCTGACCATTACATCAGGTACACATAGCAAATACTTTTTTATCATAATATTAAGACTCTTAATAATAACTTTCCCCATGAGATCTGCAACTGAGTTAATTAGATTTTAGAATCCCACATACACAACAACATGGCTTTTATTTTCCTGGAACTTGGACAGTTTTTGTCTGCAAAACTGTTCCCAGGGTTTAATCAAATACTTGGGGAAGAAGGCCTTTGTAGCTCCCTGGAGTTTCTGGGTTTTGCACAGTAGGTTTCTGCCCTGCTGAGCTTATCTTCATCATTTCTACTTCTTAACCTTTCATTGAAAGCCACATTATTTCCTGGTTGTAAGAATCCTTGTGACTTCTGCAGAAATTCAGCAATGACAGGAGGAGGTTCTTCTGTTTCCTAGTATAGGGACATTGGACGTTTTCACACCAGACTTAGTAAATCCTAGAGCCATCAGTACTTAGGACATGGCCTAAGTCAGCAAAGCAAACAGACTTTGACATTTAAAAAGGGATTGCACAGTAGGAATTTAATCAGCCCATTGCCAATACACTATTCCCTTTGAAGGAAGGACTCTTTCAAAGGGATCCCTCAGTTTGTCTGTTACAATCTAGTCTCTAAAACGACAGTGTGGCCTGAGGGTCTGTTGATGGTTATCACGCACCCTCTTGCTCTGTAACTTAATTTGTGCTCTCTCCAGATCTCATTTATTGTAAATTCCCTAACGGGATCCATATGTTTATACCACCTTCCGAGTTTCCTTGAAGGACACTCCTAGATAAAGGAGACTTATCAGTTCTGTTGTGTTTGACACATAATGGGCTGGCACTCATTAACCAACATGAACAGCATGAATTTAGTGGGCATCAATTTAATATGAGGATGGAAGAAGAGAACTGACTCCTTAATGTTGTCCGCTGGCCCCTACGCACGTTCTGGTACATGCTGCCTCCCCCACCCAAATTAAATAAATAAATGCAACTTTTAATAGTCCCTATTCTGGCTCTTTATGGTAATTCCTATAGGTTATAGTTTATGGTCACTATGTGTCTACAGCCCCTGCTCCAGTAACAGAGCTGAACTGTGACGTGTCTCTACAAAGCTTGTTTCTCACATACACAGTTTGTGTGTGTTTTTAAAGACGACCTATTTGATTTTGTGCATGTGTGTGCATATGTGTGTGTGTGTGTGTGTGTGTGTGTGTGTGTGTGTGTGTATAGACACTCATGGAAGTCAAAAGGGGTGTACCAGATCCCTTGTGTGCTTTTTAGTGGCCTCTGATAGAACAGTAAGCACTCTTAACTAAGGAGTCATCTCTCCATTCTCTTCTTGTATTTCATAAGCATTGAGTTGGTTTTGCATTTCCTTTTTCTTTTCTTTTTCTTTTTTTTTTTTTTACTATTTTATCACATTAAGATTTATTATTTAAACAATTTCACAAGCGCTAAAGAGATGACGCAGCAGCAAGGAGCATTTGTTAATCTTGCAAAAAACCTGGGTTTTGTTTGCAGCCCCCATGTGGCTACTAATTTGGTGAAAGCAATGCAAGATTGTGGCAATCGAGGAGCTAATTTTAATTTCAGAGCCCCACTGCATACGGTGCTGCCTGCCTAGTTAGAAGACATGCTGGTGCCCTTTACTTCCTTACCCAGCCACTGGCATAATGCCTCTGTCTCATCAAGTATTTCTCTATTATTACTTGCTGTTCATTTCACCTCATTAATATTTAAAGATCATTACAGTTATTCACTGAAAAGGGCAGCGCTTACCACCAACCATGAAAAGGTGAACCTAGGTGAAACTTCTGAGGAGGTATTTTGAAAGCATGGTATTTCCAGAGTCCAATCTGTCTCTATTTCTATTGTGTGGTTGTGTTAAGCTTTTGTGTCTGAAACAAAACACAAGGTGGAAGATGCATGGATCTTGGCATATCAAGTACATTTTATCAAAGAGACAGAAAGAGTTTAGTATAGAGATTCATCCATCTTCAAGACCCCTATGAAGTAAAGAGGCAAAACCCCACTGTAGTCCACATTGTTTAAATGGCAAAACTGAGCCAGGAGAAGCCTAGGGAATTACTCATTACTGAAAACCCACAGAGAAATTGTTTAACAATCCAACTCGGAATTTGACATACTCTTCTGCTTTAACCTCAAATCATTCCATCCGTCTTCAGGTTACATGTCCTCAGAAAGAATATGAATTCTTACACCCTAGCTTCTAATTGTATTTTAAATTTTATTAGGATTTTCGTTTTGCAACAGCAGCAACTTTACTGAGCAGAAAATATGAACAACTCCCATGGACCTATAGCTCTCAGCCTTGGCACATGCAGTGTCATCTGCGGTTGACATCGTGCACAAGAATTTGTCATAATCAATAAACCTACATTCATAAAGCATTGCCTCCCAAAGCTCACAACATGCTGTAGGGTCTACATGATGTACATACTATGGGTTCAGACAAGTGAATAATGACATGCACTTATATTACGCAGACTAGCTTTACTGCTTTAGAAACCTTTTATCTTTTCTTTCTGCAGGGCATAGTGTCAAGAGAAAATTCTTAGGCAGTCAAGTTCCATATGACCCAAGCATTCCTTAGATAACTTACAACAGATATCGTGTAAATGACAATGTTATGTTTTTAGGGGCAAGGGTAAAGAAAATATACATGTTAAGTATACATGAAATGTGTTTCCCAATATGCCTCATCTGAAGTTGTAGTTAGCGAACCTACAGACATGAAGGGTCTTCTACACTACTCTAAACCCATATATTTTTAGAAGACACTTGTCTGTTAATGTTAAAAGTACTTAACCACCATAATATTTCCAACTGCAATTATTTGTATAACACCATCAAAATTTTAACATACTGCATACCACTATTACTATTTTTATGTGATTTTTGAAATCATTTGAATTGTTTTGCTTAAATATAGCTTAAACATATAGTAACATAGTTATTAATATCTATGATGTTCACAAAAATAATTCATATGTTAATAATATTTTAATGTATGTCATCTAAATGTAAGTTACTATTATTATAGTCTTATTTTTGTTGTTATCATTACCATTGTTGTTATTATTTGGTGTTATTTATTATTTGAATTTTTGATCATGCTATGCAGCCTTGACTGCCTTAGTACCAGCTACATTACCTAATCTGGCTTCAAATTCATTACAATCCTCCTGCCTCAAGTGTGAGAATAATTGATGTGCATCATCACAACCAGCTCAACTTTTGAAGTCTGTTCAGATTCTGGGCATAACTTTTTTGAATATAACTGAAATGAGTTAGACAAAGAGAGAAAGTAAACTAAAATCAGCTAGAAAATACCTACAAGAACATTAAACTACAGCATATAGGCGGGAACTGACTACTAGAACAGACAGACAGAAAGACAACAACAGAAAGATAGAGCGTGCTGTGTGATGGGCTTCAGAACAGAGAAATCCGACCCGCCAGTGGGTGCCAGACAGGCTGGCTAATCTGAGAATAGTGGCAGAGGTGGGGACAGGAAGATAAAGGCGTCGAAAGGCGTCGAATTACCAGTTTCTCCTTGGGGACCAGAAAAAGTCTCCCATCCTGTAACAGATGGGGTCCGTGGGATGACCCGAGTGCTGTAAAGAAACCCTTAGGGGAACAATTCATGTGAAGTGAGACTGATCCAATATGAGAAAGCAAAGAGGAAATTCAGATAAGAGCGGGAGACAAAAGGAAAGGAAGTACATTCAACAGTCCCCCAGCACTGTTTACAAAAGATGCAGGCTCTGGACACAGTAAAGATACCGAGGAGCTAGCCTGGCAAGACTTCCATGGTAAGAAAACCCACGTAAGCCTAAGTGATAGAAGAGTGATTGCAGTAGAACGAGCTATACAGCGACAGGTGAGAAAAAGGCCAGAGAATAAAATGCCATTCACGTAACAGTGAAAGAGTAGCAATATACCCACACACCAGTAAAAGCTTCATCACACAAAATGAGGTGAAAGAACAAAGATTACATAAACTATACAAAAATTGGAAAGGTTGGTAAATGAATTCAATGAAGAAAAAATGACTTGTGAAAGATAGGTGGTGCAAGTCACAAAATCATTTTCAAAAATCACTCTAGGAATGAGATGAAGCTAGAACAGGGTTGAAACTATATACGCACAAAAGCTAATGTTTTAAGAAAAATTTTAAAGGTCAAATAAGGAAACTATTTAAATAAATAATTTTAAAATAAGATAATCAAATAACATGGTATAAAAGGGAAAAGTGTATATATATTTAAATACACTTTTTAGCATTTGTGCTATTCCATTTTTTTTATTGCCACAATAAAATATATAAATATATTTTACAGTCATTTTCTATTTTAAGAAAAAAATTCAAAATTATGGTTTTTCATATAAAAATACAAATATAAAATTTATTTAGAGATTTTTTTATTGTAGAAAAAAGCTGACTTAGAATAGACACCAGAAAGCAAAGTTTTATGAACATATTTGACAAAATCAGTTATGGGGGAAAATGAGACTATTGTTAGCAGGTTTTTGTAGAAAATATTGATGGAGTATATTTAACATACTCAAGGAAAATGTGACCTGTATATTTGAAATGCAAGAAAATTAACCTTTTAATATTAAAATAAAAGCCAGTAACTTTTAGAGTTTCATCAACACTCAAGGTTACATTACTTTTATCAGCACTTCCCAGAGACTTTCCACTAGAACATGCAGAGACCAGACAACTATCACATGAAGACTTGCAATTAGTGCTCATTATTCACATTTGGCAATCGTAACTATTCTTATAGGGAAGTAGGTGTTCATGAATATATGTTTAAACAGAAAACACAACAGAGGTCTAGAAAAATGAAGAAGTAGGAAGGAGAGATCAGCTTATAGGGTACAAAAAGGTCAATTATAAAATAAAAAAAGACAAGTACAAAATTGGGGGGGAATGCTAAATATAGCTATTTCATATCCCTGAACACTGGCTAAGGGCAATATGAAATTAAGAAGCATCTTTTTCTTGTGAAACTGCAATCACCTCCATGAAAACAGTAGCAACCCTCAGTCTTTCCACCTACATGTTCTTTTCTCCATCACCTATACCCTTTGGTTATAGAGAAATATTTTCTCAGCAAAGAGCCCACCTGCAAAACTCAGTAATTTTTTTCCTACCCAGACGCTACTGTCACACACTGGGAACTTGATTTTAGCTTTCCCAGCTCCAGACGTGTGAGAGAATAAAGTTCACTTTCACTGGCCAGCCTGTGGTGTTCTGCGAAAGCACCACAGGTGAACCAAAATAGCAGGAGTCCAGCTAGATATTTAGTGTAGACCACCAGGAAAAAGGAGTCTTGAAGATTGGGGTAAGGTGTCCACATAGCCTTGACTGTGGGTCAGGACACTGGAGAAGGCAGCTTAGATCTCTTATGAATGGTGCTTTCATGAGAACCCAACTCTAGTGACTTTATCGAGACCCAATGGCCTAGCCCTGTATACAATCAACATACGAATTTGGAGATGAAGTTTTAGTGAAATCTAAGGGGGCTGCACTTGAACCCTAGCACTTAAGAAGGCAAATCTGCTTATGGTGGATTATCTCAGCTTTCACACACAGACTGAATAATTTCACTAGATGTAGAACTTCTTTGGGGGGGCTGTGGCTAATTTTAGTATTTTGGGCAAGTCTTCTGATCCTTAGTGTTTCTGATCCTTAGTGTTTTATTGTTTTCTGAATGACTTGTTTTCTTTTTCTTTTTTGCTTTTATGCTTCACTGATTTTTATTTGCTACTCTTATGAGGTTTCTTTCTGTTTGACTTTCAGTACTATATGACTATTGCTTAGATGGATGTCTCTGTGTTTACCTTATTTTGACCTTCTTAGACTTCTTGGAGGGCTTGATTAACTGATAGAAAATAGGGCAACATTGCCTTCATTGAAAGCAATCATCTTGTTTCTATTCCTGACTATCATACTTCTTTTTTTTAATTTAATTTTATTTTTTTTATTAGTTACATTTTATTAACTCTGTATCCCAGCCGTGTCCCGCTCCCTCATTCCCTCCCAATCCCTCCTTCCCTCCCTCATCTCCACCCTGCCCCTTTCCAAGTCCACTGATAGGGGGGGACTATCATACTTCTAAAAGTGTTTTGTTAAGACACGAAGGTGGAAGAGGGGTTGGAGGGGGGAAGAAAAAGTTGTTATCAGGAGTAAGGAGTAAGGAGATGAGAGAGGGCAATGTTGGTGAATATGATCAAAATATATCATATGTGTGTCTAAAACATCACAAGGAAATGTGATTATGTGTAAGTAATATATGCTATTATAAATTTTCTAAATGCTTCCCGCTGATTCTGAATAGTTTTGTTACCTACTATGGCTCTCAATGTTCATATTTTCTCAGAAATCTTAGTTGATTTATTTTACCAACTCTGTAGTATGGTTAACTTTTAAAAAGTATATCCTGTCTATTTTCTTTGGAGTATAGTAACATGCCTTCAATTGTTTAAAACCACCCACACCAACGTAAAGCTTTGTGCAAACATCCACACTCTTTCCACTTCTATTGATAAATAGCTAGAAGCTGCATCAATACTCGCTGTTCCTATTCCCGGTCTCCTACTCCCTGCTCATCCTCCTGTCTGATTTCTTTTCTGTTCCATAATGCCACCAACACAAGCTCCTGCTAAGTGCTCAATACCTTTCATGCTCCCTAATACAGTTCAATAATCATTTGTCTTCCCAGAAGCATCGGAATTGATGGCTGCTGCTTTTATGCAATTACCTTTCTAGGCTTCTGTGACCTGGTTCTCTCTCTGTCCTGTGGAGACATATCTCTTCACTCATCACTGCAGTCTCAGTTGAAGCACCAAATGGCTTTTCTCG